CTCTAATTTCAATGATTATGTTGTTACTGGATCAGTGAAGAGAAGCATGAAAAACACAATTACCAGGAAGCCCTGTTCCTCAGCTCGCCTCTTTGTCTCACTGCGAGTGGGGCATGTGACTCACGAAGCAGCAGAGGACCGGCTGTAATCTCACGCACTGCCGAGAAGGGTGCTGTCCTCCGATGGGACCCAGGCGTGGGAAAGCCTGACTGCCGGCTGGAAGGGCCAGTCACGTCATGTTTTGCAGCTGGCATCCAAATGCATCCTGATGAATCAAGTGAGAGCAGCTACCTTCTCCTGCCACAACCGTGGCCGAGCAGCCGTGCAGAAGAGGGGCTGTAAAAACCTCCCTGCGTGCAAAAGCACAGGGAAGGGATGGTGTTGTGAATGAGCTTACTGTGACAGCACAGAAATGTTTTATAGGTCACTGGCATAGCATCAGACTACAGCGAGAGGGGATGAGTATCTTTCAGCTGTGAGTGCTGTGAGTTTCATGTTTGCTCAGTGGAGGATCATAGCTAGTGGGCCTGACCCGACCCTGTTACGTGATGCGTAGTGGGGAAAAAGAAATTCACTTGCTCTCTGCACTCCAAATCATGTATAAACCTAGGACCTCAACAACAAATACCAGTAGCAGCAGAGCAGCCAATATTTTTATCATTAATTGCTATCAAAAATGTCAGCTCAAAGTCATCAGATTTGATAGGCGAGCATGCTCCAAACTGACGGCTGAAGTGAATTATTTGCCTATTGCGTGATGCAAAAACAATGTCTTGCAGGAGAGAACAGACATTGGCAAACAAACTGACAGCAAGATATACTTCTGGGGAAGGCTTCTGATTTGATCTGGAATGAAACACTGAGTATAAATACAGAGAAAGTTTACCTGTATGAAAGGCGGGGTTGAGCCATGGCTTGGACTTCCTTACTCTGCTGGAGAACAGTGTGAAACATACCTGCTATTTTACTCCCTTTGAGCTGTTCTTATTACAAAAAGGTACCAGACATCTCAGAAAATTTTTAAAGTAATAAAGTGTCTTCCCCCCATCCCTGATGCCTCCATTTATCAGTGACTAATGAGCACATAAATTCCAGCATGTGAATAAAAATCCCTTCATCTTGGTGTTAAGCAGAATTTTCCCTGCCCATGGATCTGCAGCATGAATATTTCTGGTCTTTCTGTGCTGAAGGTCTAAACATGGGCAGACAGTACATGGTGCAGCACTGGCATACTAATGATGTAACTACTAGGTACTACAAATTGAATCAGGACCTGTTTAAATACTGGGATAACCATGAACATCATCCAGGACATGTTTCTGGACTGTATTTCACCCAGTGGAAAAAAACCCATATGGAAGCAGGATTCCAGTGAAGGGAAAGTTAGCTATGCCTGCCAGGAATCTCTTTTGCCCCCAAAAATTCAGACATCACGGGACATAAGCAGAAAATGAAAGAGAACCAGCGAGGGGAAAACCAAACAGGCTGGGGTCTTCTTGCCACTTCTTTTGAAGTCCCCAGTGTAACTCCTGGCATCTTCAGTGGGGTTTGGCTGGGCTCTGTGCAGAAGCGCCTTTGAAGATTTTGCTAAGGCTCAAGGCCTTGATCATGGCAACTTTTATGCCTGTGAGCAACTCTGTGCAGATGAACACTTCCAGGGTGCTCAGCAGGATGCTTTGGATGAGACTTTGCAGGGCTAGTCTTAAGCAATGAGAGCTTAAGAGAAATATTCTGGTTGTCGTGCTTTTATCCTTGACCACATCAAATGAAATGCCTTGGCAGTTCTGGAAGAATGAATTTGCATTGAAAACCCACAGCTCTTACAAGCAGTGCATTAATTATTTTATTAATTTGCTCTTTTTACATTATGGGAAACATTCATCTATTTACATTTTCCTGTCCACACACAAACCAGATAGATAATCCTATGGAAACCCAAATCATTAAGCCATAAAAACACTCTTTTCTGTCTAAAGGCTTTCAAATTTGTGTCTTTTGTTTCAAATCAAAAACATTTTTAAAATCACATTTGGGAATGCAGGTAGGCCAGTGATTTACATTCTACTTAAAATATGCATTTGACAGTTTTCCTTAAAAAAAAACAAAACAAAAACCAAAAAACCAAAACCCCCAATAAATTCACAATGATACAGTTTAAATTAAAGTGATAGTGCACATCAAAGCATTAAGGGAACACCAATAAATAAAATGAAATATATTACAAATAAATTATTTCTATTTACCTTTTCAAATATTAAAAATCTTTAATCCATTTCTTCATCTTTCTTTACAAAAAGATTATGAGAATTTTATGGAAACATCTGCAAAAAATATAATAAATACCTCTTTTTTTTTTTTTTTAAACTTTTGAAGCAGGAGACAAAACCAACCTTTTCTAAAATTTCCCCCAAGAAAAAAAAGCAATAGTTTAGTCCCAAAGTGAAACAGAATATAGGCATTTTTAAAATACACTGGGCAGTTTAGACTAAAAACAAATAGTTACAAATTATACTAAAACAGATGATGGAGCAAATATACTAGCATTAGTGTTTGTAAATGAGTCAAGTGGTTAACTAGTGGCATTCTATGGGCAGAATTATTTTATTTTGTATTTTCTGGTATTGGCTGTATTTTTAATATTTTGCTAAAAAACTAGGCAAACATTATAATAACCTCTCCAGTGCCAAATGAACTAACAAGCATTCAGCTAAGAATAAATTCATTTAAAATAGATACAAAAAATATTCTATGATATACAAATACAATAATTTGTAATGTACAAGACTAGATAGTCTTCACTTTTCTGCTTTTTTAGGGGAGAACTTGCTGGATATAAATTTCTGTAGCCACTTGTCAACCAAAATCTTAACTCATCTTTCGTAAAACGTTCACAAAACTAAGTAAGTCTGCGACACAGTTGTGAATGTGGACTCTCACCTAGGTACTGCTTTGAATACTTCAGTACAAATGAGTTCCAAATAATTAATACTTCCTATGACTATATATGCTCAAAAGTGGCAGTTGGCACTATTACATACTGCAAACACGGTGATGTTTTGTTGCTGCTAAAAGTTAAACGCAGTGTTTCAAAACTAGCAAATACACTGGTATTCAAACGCTTAGAGGGTCAAACCTTTTGAAGCTCCTGTAACACCAAGCACTCTAGAGTTACACTGGATTTCTGATTACTCTAGTTAAAAGTCTTTTATATATTAAATTATTAGCCCTTATCTTGTAAACCACAGCAGTAAATATTTGTGCCCTGTTTATAAAGACATAGCTCAGATATCGATGGCTTTGAGAGGTAGCAAATTCTCTAGTGGTTTTAGTATGCTCTCATGAAAATACTTGGTGCCAGAACATATTACCTCTCCTATTTTCTCAAATAAAATTAAATTAGCACCTGGCTATGATGTCATAGGAAAAGAAGCTGTCTGGCATGGTCTCGATGAATACTTTTAGCAAGAGCTTAACTTTTCGATGACGATTTTCAATGCTTTTTAAGTGCAAGCTGCAGAATTGTGCCACATGTGCAGTGGGGTTTTTCACTGGTTGCACTGTCCATACAGATTGAGCTGCCATGGGCACAGCCAGCCAGCACTGGCGTGCAGCAAGGGCTGCCACCTGTGCCCCTCCATGGTGGGGCTGTCCCTGGCCCTGTGCCTGTGCCCACTGGGAGCAGAGAGCAGCCTGCCTTCCCCTCCTGCGTACCCATGCCCTGGCAGACAGGGTGAAGAACACGTAGGGTGCAGCAGAGGAGTCTGGAAAACATCGCTGCAGGACTGCACACATGCTGAGGGCTGCACAGCGCTCCTGTGCTCACACCAGTCCTGTGTCCCACAGCAGTCCTGCCACCCAAAGCAGCCCTGTCACCCAAAGCAGCTCACGCTAATTCTGCTGGCAGCAGTACAAGCCAGTTAGGCACACGTGTGTGCACTCACACTCGCTCGCTCGCACGCACACGACTCGCTTTCAGCAACATGCCTGACACAGCTTTCCTAATGTTGGCACAAGAGATTCCAGTAGCAGCGTGGTCGGCATCATTCCTCATCAGAGGAGCTGGAGGACAAGCCCCTGTCCCAGCCAGAGGTGGCTGGAGGGGACAGACACACAGGAGCTGACCTCTCAGGCTCCTCTCCAGCCCTATTATCTGCCATTTCCGCCCACTATTAATGAGCTACTTAGGATGCATATTTTTCGTGATTGCAAAACAATGGCAGAAGCCAGGGTAGGAAGGCTTGTCGTGAAAAATATTAAGTTCATATTGATCCCATAACTTGTGAAAAATAGTCTATTGTTCTTGTTCAAGTGAGTACGTTATACTATTAAGAGGAGGCTGAATTAGAAATTTACTCCTAAATATGGATGGTTTGGTGATAAGCAGTCTGAACTGTAGCATACAACCAGCTGTGGAAAGAGCAAAGCAAGCCTGGCCTGGAAAAGCATCAGAGGCTCCATGTACAGTAATTCACCTACAGGTGTCCGCGTGTGGCTGCGTGGACGTATGAGATTGGATGGTCCCACCGAGATTAAGACATCAACAAAACCAAGCTTTTTTTTCTTTTTTTTCTTTTTTTTTTTTAACCAATATAATCCATACAATACAATACAAGAGGAATTGACAATACAGTACAATTTTAAAAATTCTTAATACTTGGACAAGAAAATCCTTCTTTTATATTATCTCTTCAACTGTCATTGCTTCTTATCTCCTTCCTTTTTACTCTTTTATTGCCTTTCAAAATAGATTATTTCCCTGGAAGATCGAATTTACAATCTTCTGCTGATTGAAATGTTTAAGTAGTGACTGATGAAATAAAAATGAGGCAGTTTGTGCAGCTGTGAGTGTGCAGGTATCTTTCCACAGGATCTTTTATAACCCTTGCCATCTCACCTGTGGGATATACTTCCACCTTTTCACCTGCCAGAGCTGTGGGGTTTCTTTTCGTCCCCCCCTCCCCGCTCCCACCCCAGCTCCCTCCCCTTGTGTGACTCCTTAATTCAGGTGAAGATGTGATTTGGAGGTTTAGAATAAAGTGCGCCATCTGCTTAAAAAAAAACAAACCAGTAATAAAAAGAAGGGAATCCGAGTCATAGCTCCTTTCATCTTTTGTGAGGAAGACGGCAGAGTCCGAAAGGATCACCCTGCATGACTGAAAATACCAAAGTCCCCTACAGTTTGATATTGCTGTACACTGGGTAACAGACTAGCTTTAGATCAACTAAAGATCATGAGTAAGTTAAATGGAGCATCTACTGTACAGGTGCGCGCAGGTGTGTGGAAGTCTGAGTGCTGCGTTTATTTGTTCCAAACAGAAAAGAAAAAAGGATCATGCTCGTTTACATGAGGCAAAGTGGCAGCATCGGTACATGTGACAAAGCATCGTGATGACATGGGTGAACCTTCAGAAAGCAAGGGTGATTAGAGGACATCTCTCGGAGGACCGACAACTACGCCACGGCAGTGGAGTTCACTGGGAGCATCGGGGCAGCTGCGTACAGAGAGAGGGGAGGGGGAGAGTAGGGACAGAGAGCGAGAGGAGGAGGTACAAATACTTCGTGGTGACCTTGAGCAGGAGCCTAGAGGGGCAGATTATACATGAGGCTTGTCTTGCCAGATAGAGTCCTCCCGGTTGGATCCCTTCATAGCCTGGTCTGGGCTTCGGGGATGTATATCTCAATGCTTTCGGCGCTCTCGGTAGCTGAGTTCTGGCGAACCGACGCAGCGCGCTTGGCAGCCATCAGCCGTTTCCGGGCCTCCTGACGCTGCGAGCTTTCCAGAGAGCGTTCTCGTATGAGTGGCACCTGACCTTTCGATGGCTTCTTTGGCACTGGAGGAGGGACCCTTCTCTCCTGATCAAAGCAGAAGGTTAATGGCATTATACAGCTTCTCAGGGAAAGGTGGGAAAAACTAGGATATATCAGTAGTTAGAACACACATTTTACCTAAGGTTTGTTAGCTCTTATCTGCCTTTCTGTCTTCAGTCAACTGGCTTTTGTGCTCAAGGGTTCATAAACATGGGGCAAGGGCAAAGGGGAGGGGAGGGCCGGTCGCCGTGCTACTTCTCCTCGGGGACGGTGCTGCCGGGGCCGGGGCCCCCACCACTACCTGCTTAGTGCCAGGGACTAGGAAAGAGACCGACCTCCCGCCACCGGGGCAGCCAGGAGGGAACGCTGCTCTCGGCAGAGGAACTCTGGAGAGCCCCAGCTCCCGGGCCACCCTCTTCTATCCGTGCATAGCGCTAGGTGCTCCTGCAACACGGAGGTGCCATGGCTCTGGCGTTCCCAAATGCAGACAGGAGCTAGCTGTCTGCAGCTGGTGCATCAGAATAAGTAGTTTTTAAAAAAACACACCACATGTTTATGTATCTATTTCGTAGCAGTTTAGTGACTGCTCAAAAATCCCATGCTCGGGGTCTTGCTCTGCAAGCTCATAAACTCTGGCCTTGTGCTAAATAGGCATGAGGCTACATTTCAGCTAGAAATAGAAAATCTGGTAGGAAAAACTTAAAAACCGTTAGGAGAACATGCATTAATCATCATGGTGGCAGCTAGCTCCAGATATGTGACCAACAAGGAGGGCTTTTATATATATCCTGGTGCATGTACACACACGTACACATAAAAAACCAAAAAAAAGAAAAAAAACCCACAAAAAAAAACCCAACCAAAAGAAACCCTCTGAGAAGGATCTCTCTCATAAAAGAAAAGTGTATTCAGAACTGAATTTCAGGCGTCCACAAAGACTTTGTCAAGTTAATTAGATTGTCTTTTAAGTTACATCCCCTTCCAACTGTGAACACGGTCTCTGAGCGAAGGGATTTTATCACACTACAAAGGTCCCATTCTGCCCTTTCGTTTTCTCTCATGCTGCTCACAACAGCTTCCATGGCTCAAAATATAAAGGTGCTTAGTTACACTTATTCATACTTTGCTTTTTCTCTCCATCCAAGGATTAATCTATGCTGCTTAAAAAGGGCCCAGTGGCAAAGGCCAAAGGCAAATATCAATTCCACAGAAAGTTTTTTCTTCTTTTTTTTTTTTTAATCCTTTTTAAGAAAGGAGACGATCTGTTTCATCTAAAATCATAGACAAATGCTGTTGAAACAGGAACACAGTGTAATTCTTTAGAATCTTTACCTTCCTACTGTAGGTCCCTTTCTTCAGCACTACTTAACTTCCTTTAAACTGCTATAGTCTTCTTTTTGTTGGAAACTCTTTGAAATGTTTTTCAGAAGCAAAGAAAAGGCACATTTTTTTTCAAGGAAAACTCTCATTTCTTACTGCTGCAATTGCAACACTCAGCCTACCCACTTTACAGTAAAAGCTAATGAAAGACCATATACCAGCATTTCTGTGCATGCATGTTTGGCAGTTTTAACTTCCTTTTTTGATAGATACTGGAAAAAAAAAGAAGATAAGAAAATGACTTGCCTTCAGTACCTTGGGCTAGGAAAACACATTCCCATTCATTCCCCTACAAAACACACTAGGTGTGCACAAATGGTGTGAACATGGCACTCCTAAGTCAGGAATGAATATTTAGTCTTGATTGGAGGAGGAGGAGGAATAGTGCTACCAGCACTGCCTCTACAAGCTTCCTGCTGCAAGATTAACGGGGTTTGATATTATTATGGTTATTTGTCCAAAAGAAAACACCACTTTGGTCATCGGCAGCCAGCTGAGGTAAGTTGAGGTAGCCAGGACTCCTGTCTGAGCCACTGTACCTGTAACTTGTGCTCCCCCTCCTTCTGGTGACCCTACCTGTTGGCTGTGTTCATTGCTATCAGACCAGTCACAGCAGAAATTCAGCCACCAAATTACATACCTACAGCAGCGCGACATTAGACTGTTGGTTCCTCTAGGAATGGGTCTGTGCCCTAAGGATTTTCTGAAACATTTGTGTATTTTGGCTCACCCAAGTGCTGTTTGTCTTGAGGTGGAGGAGAAAAAAAAAAGGCAATGGTGCCAAATGAGAATGTAACGTGAAATGTGACTTACACTTGGATGTGGTAGTTTTTCATGGTAACAGAAGAAGACTACGTGCACCAAAAAAAAAAAAAAAAAAAAGGGAAAAAATCCCCACCAAAGCTCCAGATGATTTTTATGCTACTTCAGGTAAACAACAATACCAGGAAAGTGAATGTGTTTGTGAAATCACCCATTTAAAAAAAAGCCCAAAATAAATAAAAAACAAACAAATGGACAAAAAAATGTAATTTTTTCATGTAACATTTTGGAAGGCATATTTTTGATATTGCTGTTTGTAACCTGGCTACCAAAGTCAGCGATGGTTACAGTGCTTCCCTGGTTTTTTCAGTAACACAACCTAGAACTCTTGCTGTATGCAATAATATGAACCGTAAATGTGATTTATTTAATTTTAAGAATCAATATATAAGGCAGTTCCTTCCAACGATTGATCGTCTAATATGATTAAATGTAAAGCTTAACAAAGTACCACATTCCCATCATCCGATTCACAAAGACAGATTTGGTTTAAAAATATGCCTGAAACATATTACAGATAATATCCCAGATGATTATTATGTAAACATTGTTATTACAATGAAATTAATTTGATATGAGCTTCATTTCACATTTTTAACGCCAACGCTGTAACACAGAGGCCTATTTAATCTGTCCAGTATTTGTGCAGGGTTTTAAATGAAGCATACAAAATCTACAGTGTTCTACCTTCTTGTCATGAGGATCCATCTGTTTCCAATTATTGGCCTTTAACTGATGAAGTTCATCAAATTTCATACTAATATTTTCTATGGACAACTGCAGCATATCCCAAAACCCTGCTAAATCCTGGGAGGTCGGCCGTGGATGTGCATTAGGATTCTGTGTAACACAAGAAAAAAACATGTTGGCTTTAGTATTTCTTAATGTAAAGAATTCATACAAATGGTTACAAATCTGGCTAGCAAAGCAGTTTGAACAGATCCAAGTGATGGGTGAGACCCAGAGAGAGGAGCAAAGCAAAGCATTACTTACTGGCAGGTTTTATTTTGAGGAATCTGGCTCGGCGTTGAGCTGCTGTCCCTGCAAACACCCACTCACCACTCACCAAAGGCAGCAGGTTCCCCCCACAGACTAAGGGTAAAGGGCCCCTGTGGCAGGATCTGCCTAGGGATGTTCCTGGGCACAACTGGTGGCAATCCTATCTGCACTGAAATGAATTGCCATCCTCCTCTTCACTTCCATGAGGAAGGATTCCCCACCATGCTCACACTTGTAAAAAAGAGTGATACCTGTGCAAATGTATGTTTCCTGCATGTGCAAATACTGATACACCAAAGTTTGAATACTTTTTCTGCACTCTGAAAATGTAAGGTTTACAAAAATACACTAAGTGACATTTTCTCTTATAGACCTCAGGCCAATTTCTTCCTTTTTTTTTTTTTTTTTATTTGTTTGTCAAGAATAACTTGTGCTGGGTGAAAAGCTCAGAAGACTGCCTGCAGAAGCACAGTAAACCCATTTTTACAGGAAGATTTTTGGGAAGAATGAAACCGGGACACAGGTGGGGAGCATTGCTTTGTGTGTGCAAACTCATCAGCTCAAGAGCATTGCTTAGAAGAGCGTATCTGGACAGTCAGCATCTTCAGCACAGCTTGGGCCAGACCCAATAAACCCTGTCCCTTAAGTGCACCCCAGCTCTGAACACTTTTTGCTTGCAGTAGGCGTACCCAAAACCTAATCCCTGCTCCACTGGCAAGGCTTGTGTGAGGGAAGGCTTTCTACAGGATGTGTCCCTATAAGCTGGTTCCCAGCTGAAACTGTTTGTTTAAAATGAGACGTTGCATACACTCACTTCAAGCATGTTTTTTTCATAAATTCTGAGGAGTTTCTACATCAGTCAGCAAGTCTTTGTGGGTGCTGTGGCCTTGTCAGACTACACTGATATATTGTTATTAATTTTGTTGTTAATAAATAAATAAATAAATAAATAAATAATTAGTAGCACCTTGCATAATGTTTTACATGGCTCAGGTTTTACTCTGCCTTTAGTTTTCTTCCTCTTCAGAAAGAATAAACCCAAAAGAGTCAGCTGGTTGCCTTATAAAATATCTATTTGTGCTTTTCACAGTCATACTGACAAAGGATTTTGGTAGGATGATTATACCATGAAAGGTGCAATTATTGAAAACAATAAAGTATATATTTTTAGAGTCATAAGGAGACCAGAGATTACACTTTGATTCCTGGTTTTTCAGAGCTTGACTCTAGCAGGTTACCCAGTTGTAGGCTGTTATTTGCACAAAGATGTGCAAGCAGAAGGCTTTTTCAGTTTTTATATTAAGAATTGGAAGTCTTATTAAGACAGAGCCAATTTCTGTTGCATTTTTCCACTGAAGCAGATTTTAGTTTGGAGCTTGTTTCCTAGGAGCACCTGGGAAAGCCCAACTTGGGAGATTTCTGATCCACCCTCAAAGATCTTAAGGTGTTTTACCCATCCGTGTGCCCATGAACTCAGTGATCAAGGGACAGATCCGTGCTCCTCTTAAGTCAGTTGCAGAGCCTCAGTGGTTGCTCACCTTAAGCTTTTTGCCTTTATTTTAAGGGTCTCAAGCTATTGTGAAACTCATGCTGACTCTCACAAATCTGAGTTACTCCCAAATTCATATCAGGGCCTTTACTGGAAAAATTGCCATGTTAGTCAGAAAATCAGTTTAGTTTATGTAGCATTATTCACAGGGTTAGTAAAAGGCACACATTAGTATCTAGCAGAAAAATTACATACCAGGTTTTCTTCACAAAGTTCTCTGAACTGGTAAAATTTCTGAGCCATGAGAAGCTGGGCACTGCCCACTGCAGTTCGAATTTTCCCTAGAACTGAGAGAAAAAGAAGAGTAAGTCACAATGCTTTCTTTGCTGCAGGCAAGTAAAAGCCTATAAAAAGAGAGGAGAAAGCTGTGCAGCAGTCAGCTCTGGCTTTCAAAAGGTATGTTATCTTTCAGCCACAAAAAGAGAGAAGTTGATAAGTCTAAGGTCAGATCTCCATGAGGCAAAAAATATGTAAAAGGTTGCTGCACCTTACTCTCAGTGAGACCAGTTGTAACCAGTTGTAATGACAGTGTAAACGTGGCTAATCAAAAGCTTCTGCAGGCTGTACAGAAAGCTCACCAGAAATGTCACCACTCATATCACCATGACCCAGGCTCAGGCTTTGAATACAAACCCAGCTCCCAGCACAAGGACATGCAGCTCTCAAACTCTGTTTGCTTCTCCACCTCACTTAGCAACTCAGGCTTCATTGTCAGGTGTAGCTGAGTGTTGCTCGACCAGAGCCCCAGAAAGGGGATGATTGTTTTACTGCACTCCAGTGAATCTCATCTGGACCTTCTGAGTACTTTCCATGAGTGCAACCGAAGGCTGCTTCTGCCTTTGAATTCAAATGCCCAGGAGTACTTCAGGGAGCAATGGCACCCTGGCCTCTCCTCCTTGCTGCTGATTTGGAGGGAGGTGTCAGAGTCCATGCGCAGCTGGCTGAGGACTCCTTTGTACAGACAGCTGGGTACTTATGGCTCCTTTGGGCTGACTGAGTGCTGTGAAGGGCTGCAGTGAACCAGAAGACAGCCCATAGTAAATGCCTCTGAATAAAGCAGGAGCTCATACTGTTTTGGTTGCATTCAGACCCTGGGATTTTACAGCAGTAGTTGGGAATACACTTCCCAAAACCGAGCCATAGACTGGTGCATTCAGGGGCTCCCTGGGGAGTTCTGGTCCGGGGGAGACTCTGTGTGTACCTGTACACGTGTGTGAACACATGTGTGTGTGTGTGTGTACCTTTGTGTGTGTGAAAAAAGAAGTAAGAAGGCAGAAACAGCGAAAAGGCAGACATGGCCTTAGCTGGCAGTAAGACAGTGAATCCAGAAAACAGAGTGTGAATTTAAGGACTGCTGAGTGAAAGAACTGATGCTGTGAGGAAGAAAGCAGCCACTGATTTGTCTGAGATTTCCGATGCTCAGAAAAACCCCCAAGAATATCTTTAAAAAAAAATAGGTTGGCATTACAGATTTGTCTGATTCCTTCATTAATTTTCTCTCTCAGCTGAAACAACTTATTATGCCCAATTCTCTGGTTAACAAGTGATTAAACAACTAATTTAAATGAATTTTTTAAATATTACCACTTCCTTAATGAAAAACATGAATGGCAGCCACTGTGTCACAGTTCTTGCTATCATTTCTACTCAGAGATACTCGTATTGTCCCAGCCCTCAAACAGACACAGCAACTTTTCTGTGACAAATTTACAGCCTGGATATAAGAGACAGGTGAAGGAGGAATGGGGAAAACAAACAGACGAAGTGGCCAGCTCAAGGTGAGTGAATTGCTGGTAGAGCCTAGAAGAGATACTGGTCCTAAGCTGCCATCTTCTGCACCTTTCCTTGGGCACAGTCACTTTTTGCATGAAAGTTAAGACAGCATTAACAGAGCTCCCCTGGGAAAATACTGCTAAGTATTTTGATGTACCACAATGAAAAATAAATAAACAAACACATACATACATAAATACATGCAACTTTGCTATAACCCCTTCTAACAAGATTTTTAGCATTTCATTGGTCCTGTGACTGGCTGCAGTGCTGGCTACCAGAATGCCACCATGCAGTGCTTGGTAAGAGAAAGGCCTCTCCAAGGGTTTGAGTAGCCACATACTATGCAGACTGGCACAAATACTCGTGATAAACTGAAACTCGATACACACTTATTTGAAATCTGTGTTCTCCTCCTTCAAGGCAAATGGATTTTCCTTCACCAGCCTCAAAGCTCACTCTCAAGGCTGTTGAAGGAAAAGTGGAATGTGGAGTTCATTTATACTTCAGACATACAAAGGGGGGAAAAAGGAGGAGGGAAGAGAGTCTTTTCACATTTTTTTCCAAACCTATAGGAGAGAGCTCTGTGAACACACACAGAGCCCAGACTTTCATTTTGTTCCCAGAACTCAGCTCAGCACTGCCAGGAAATAGCCGTGAGCTGGAAGATTCACTAAGCAGAATATTTTCAGCATATTGCGCAGGGAGTTTTGCACACAACTCTAATTATTGTTAGCAAGGCTTGCGTGTCTAATTCTATGCGCACAGTGCTGAAAATGGACCCCTTGGTGTGTCTAGTCATTTATGCAACCCAATATGCAAACCACTCAACTGAAAGGACTTTTCAATAGTAGGAGGAGCTACTCCGAGAGCTTTCATGTGGTTCCCATTGTTATGAAAACTCTTCCCACTGAGTATATTTGGGAACAGCTGCCTCATCTGGAGTTCGGCCACTCTGACACTTCTCAAGACTTGAGAAGGGGAGAAAAAAGTCTCTCAACTTCTTGGGATTAAAAAAAGAAAAAAAAAAGAATAAGAAAAAAAAGGTGAGCTTTTCCTGGAAACCTGCACCAAATTATTTGGAAATCACATCCCAAGCATGAATAAATGTATATACAACTTGTTGATGGATGGTAATGTGCCTCTTTCTTTGGGGAAGAAGAGCTTAATATTCAGAGATCTCAGCAGAGGGAAAAGGAAGTCCTTGTCCTTGGCTGCCTAGTGACTGGCTATTTGCCTAAAAACCATCATCCCAGCTGACTGCGGGATGCATGCTGATGCTGTTCTCTATTGTTGCCACTTCTGCTGTAGCTGTGGCTGTATCTAGTCAAGTGTCACTGATTCCTCGCCCCTCAAAAGCAAGGGGTCTGTTAATGTGCAACTGGTCAACAACCAACTCTGTCACGGAAGTTAGGGGGGAAAAAAAGACAAAACACAAAGCATACAAAAAGCTGAAAGGAATGTCTCTAGAAGACACAAAGCCTTATCAATAGCCTAAGTTTTGTTTCCAAACCCACGCTGCTTTTAGTGTTTCAAGGCACAGTGCTCATTTTGCTTACTCAGTCAAAATCTCTGGTGCCCAACAGAAAGGCCAAGGTGTAGTGAAAAATCAAAAGCAAAAACAGACCATTAGATTTTCTTAGAAGAAAAGCCTGCAAGGTTTGAAGCCAAATACCAAGAAAATAAATGGAATTACAAAGATAATACTCAAAACAAATCAGAAAAGAATCAGAGTAATCTTTAACAGCAAGGGAGATGGGGTGCAGGAGGAAAAACACATAAACATTCAAATTGATGTGTTCAGCTAATAGGATACAAAGAAAACATATAAAACCAAGCAACAAAAAATCCCAACCCATCAAGATGCAATCATAATGGATTTAAACACCTATATAATGTTATTCATATCTGCTTTCTGTTCCATACAGGACTATACAGCACACTCAGCACTGCTGGATCTGAATGCCTTCCAGTAATGCATTAAGCAACCTTATTAACATCCATCATATGCTTTGCTGTCACCTCTTCCCGAGAGGGAGAAGTATGTGTACTGCAGTGTTTTGTTTTAATAGTTTGAATTTTCCCCTTTTTTTTTCCTTCCCTTCTTGCTTTGACCGATCTTCCTTGTAAATCCGGTTCTCTCCTGTGACATTTCTTAAGACGTGGACAATTATGTCTATTCTTGAAGAACTTACAGCTATTTTGATGGAATTCAGCTACTGTGGAATGCGTCCTCACTATTACTGATCTTATCTAGGAATCACAGAATATTATTCTAGGACAGACACATGACAGTGAATATCCTTGTGTCATTAATTCCCCAACATGTTCTTATTTTAAAACATTCTTGAAAATAGATTTGGACTGTTTGCTGTTCAAACAGTAAGTTCTTGCTTCTCTTGGTTCTAAGAATTGCATAGGACCTGTTTTGAAATTGTGGAGCTCTATGTGTTTCCCTCCTCCACGTCTTCATTGGAAAAGAAATAGGAAAACAACAAAATAAAAGAATTGTGAACACAAGCAAAAAAAAATAGTTATTGTCATCTGCTCTAACTAGGAAGATGGCTCTGTTTATAATAAGGATAACAAAATATAAGAAAATAACAAAACCCACCTGAAGTGATGTGAAAAGTAATCACATAGAGGAACCAGGGGAGTTTTGAGAAGGGACAGCACTATTTGGCCTTAAAACCCCAAGTGATGTATTTGCATTTGAACTTTGACAGGCCTCAGGGTCTAACAAGTGACAAAGGAGGCACTTTACGACTCCTGACTATCAAATGCCCTTAACATGAAAACACCTGGTTGATAGGCAGGGCCCAAGCTAGGGAACGGAATACCGGGACTTGCTCGTTGCCCCAGGAGCAAGTGGCAGGAACAATAGCTGAAATTACAGGGACACAGCCTGACATTTGCGTTGCAGATGTTGGCTGGGCACTATGCATATGAAGCAATCCTGCCACAGAGCTGTCACAATCCATTTCCAAGCCAGGATGGACCAGCATTTTAGCCTATTCATGTTGACAGAGCTACATTTAAATAGCCAAGTATGACAAAAGCCAGGAAATTCAAACTTAAAGCTACTGCTCAGGTCTTAAGCTCAGCTGTTAAGGAGAAAACAGCCAAATGGAACAAACTAGGGAAGGAGCAGTCCTTTCTTTGAGTCATATATACTTACAGGAGTGATCTCATTGAAATTAATAGGGCTGTCTGCATGAGCAAATGCTTCTCATTTGGATTAAAGCAGTTTCCATGTGTTCTCTGACTTACTTGGCTTTTATTAGAACATTTAATGTTTTTTTTCCCTAACTAGATCGTTTCCTTGCTTGTGGATTTCACTTTTTTCCTTGCTAGCCTCTGGGCACTGGTAGGGCTTTCCTTGCTGGCTGTCCTTTGAGAAACCCTCGTGTAGGGAGAAGTCCCTTCTGGGCACAAAAGAAAACCAGAACAAGAAAAGGATGACTTGGGCATATGGCCAGAGGCACGTAGCCAGGGGGATTCCAGCAGGACTCGGCCACATGTCAGGCTGGGGACCATCCCTCTGCACAGCTGTCCCAGCCCACTGCAGGATGAGGCTGTCTCAACTCCTCGGAGCAGCAGAGGCCAGGATTGCTTGGAGAAGCCCTGCAGAGGAATGGTTTTCCATGCTTATGGCTGAGTGTGAGCTCATGGGTCTCTTTTTATTTTGCCATGCACAACTATTATGAAAAATGTACCTTTTCCTAAACTTTATTCTCTTGCATCTAACCTTTACTTTTTGTTTTCTTTTGAAACAATTGAAACAAACCAAAACAGCAGACAGTGTGTAAGCATTGCATAATTTGTCAGAACTGGATGCATTTGTAGAGGCTCTCGTCTGAGCAGTGAGGTTCCTGCAGATTTGAGGTCAACCTTTATTCACACACTAGCCCAGAGGGCTACTGTATACACACAGGAGAATTATAATGACAGGTCTTGTAAGAGCCTTGGTTTTCTGTTTTAGTTTTTACATGATTTGGCCTGGCTTTTCTCACCACTAAACCCACATTACACCTGACTTGTGGTGAATCAGGCCTGCTGTTTGCTTCTGATGGTTATCTTTACACCAAAGCCACAGTACAACCTCATGTGAAAGAGAAACTTCTGGAGGCGGGGGCCAGGGGAAGCTTTCTGGTTTTTCCAAGAAGGTCAATATGAACAACAGCAAAATACCCCATCCAAGACAGGCCAAGGCCATAGGAATATGTTCCTGTGCCCACCCCTGCTGGGAAAAAAAATGGTCAGAGCTGTGCAGGGAGCCCGGTCTGATGGTGCTAATTTTGTATGTAAATGGTGACAATAGAGGTCTGAGCCAAAAGTCACCAACAACTGTGGTGAGGCTCTGACTATTTGAAATTTTACAGGGGAGAGGTAGGAGGAGAAAGCAGATGGTTGAGGAAAAAAACAAAAAAAGTCAACAGTTGATTTCACTTGAGACCTGATCCAAAGCGTCAATCAAGTCTCACAAGGTGTTTAGCCTCAGATGTGTAACATCTTTTCCTTTTTTTTATGAGAGCCCTAGAGTTTGTAGCCAACTTCCCTGTAACTGCAAAATACACTGAAATCACATCAAGTATGTTAGCTTAAAGTGTGATTGGTGTTCATCTGCCTGTCACACAAGCTGCAGCTTTATCAGAAAATGATTTCAGATACAACCAGAATATACTATCCAATAAATAATTCATGGCGGAAGGGAAGCCACATTTCTCTCTATATTGGCATTTCATCGTGCAGCCGCTGAACCACAGCTTGTTTTTATACAGAGCAGCAGACTCCATTTCCCAGCTAGAAACATTCAATCCCATCTGGTAGATCCATTCCCAGCTAGATAATACCCTACGTATCTATGTAACATACAAGCTACTGTCAAACAGCAGCGAGCCGTCTCCCCGAGACAGCTGTTCCGCACAAGGGCCGCATTGTCTGGAGGAAGCGTGGATCGTTTTACGTGGAGCGCCGGGGGGATGAGCCCTCTGTCAGCTGCCATGGCATCGAGAAAACCTCGCTCATCACACGTTCTCCTTATTTTGTTATCTGGCCAAACACATGCTGGGCATGTCAGGTTGGAAACAAAGGATGCATTCCCCGCTCTGGTTATGTTTCATTAGGGAAAGCAAAGCAAACGCACCTCTTCTGCTTCTTTCCTCTCTCCCTGTAAAGTGTATAGATTTATGAAAAAGACGTTTTTCGGGGCAGGGTTTGTAACAACCAGGCTTTTGTTCCTGGCACCGCTGAGCGGGCAGAGTGGCCCGGGCCATATGCTTTTCCTTGGCACCAGGTAGAGCGGGACGTGCTGGGGCGCAGCAGAAAGCCCTGCACAGCCTCTGTGGGAGGCAGCTGCCACGTGCCACGGCAGCCGACAGCCTCACGCCGAAATGAGGACTGCAACAGTGGCACCAAACCCAGGTGAGCCTTCTCCTCCTGCCATTTCCAGTGACCACAAGAAGTGCCAGGACACATGCCGGGTGGGCTGTGAGGGGGCATTGGGAATAGCCAGCCTGACCATTCCTTTATGTTCCCCATAACTGACCTCTCCCACTGATTGCCCCAAGAGCCCTTTAAAACTGTCTTATATTAAAGACACCAAGACATTGAGAGAAAATTCTGTACAGATATGCATTTTCTGCATCTATCAGGCTCATGAAATTCACTTCATGTTCTTTTCCTACAACTTTATTGGTGCACCAAATACCTTGGTGCACAAATAAAATATTTATAGGTTTTTCCAGTATTATCAGTTCATAGAATGACAGAATAGTTGGGGTTAGAGAGGACCTTTAAAATCATCTAGTTTCAGCCTCATTGCCTTGGGCAACAACACCTTCCATTAGACAAGGCTGCCAAAGCTCATCCATCTTGAACCCTTGTCCTTGAACCCTTCCTTGTCCTTCATGTCCTTGAACCCTTCCAGGGATGGGGCATCCACAACTTGGCAACACCATTCCAGTGCCTCACCACCCTCATCATAGAATATGTTTTCGTTACGTCCTATGTTGTTATGACTTATAAAAGTTGTGTGTTTCCTGTTTGTTAAGTGTTCACACTTCTTTTTCAATCTAAAATCTTATTGTTCACAAGGTTTATTTCTTCATGCTACAGAAACAACAGAAACTCTTTTATTCTGATACATGTTCAAAGAGATTTTTGAATACATTGATGATGTGAGTTAAAAATGAGATTCAAAAATTCTAGAACTTGGTAAATCTGGATCTGCTTTTAAGGTCAAACATTCCATATGTTTTCTTCAGAAGGAATTGTTAGCCTATTGTATAACATAAATTTTATATAAATATAAAACCTTTACATATCTTAAAATTCAGGTTATCTTATACTTGCCATTAAAATAAATTTCCAGTTGCTTACAATTTTGTCTAACTTTGACTGTCTAGATCCCAGCTTTTCATTCACTGTGTTGAATGGAAAGTTCCAGCAGAAACAGCTTGTGCATTTCTAAGAATTTTTTTCCAGTGTTAATTTCTTTCATAAATCAAAACCTTTACATTTCAGAAGAATTCAAACATCTCTTTTCTTGAGAGGAAAGGTTAAAAATTTTTAAGAAGCAATTCTGTAGCTGAAGTAATAGTCCTTGCTTTGGTAGTAGCTAATTTGGGAGTTGGAAAAATATTACTTTTATATCCAGGAAAATATACTTAGGCATGTCTAAATTATAAAAAACTGAATTCTCTATGGGTAGCTGCTTCTTAGTGTTTCCCAGAAGCTCACTTCTAAAACTTGAAACAGCTTTATTTGCAAGGGGCATTTTCACAGATTTACCTCTGTCTAAAGTTCACAGCTAGCAATAGTACTGTTCCTTGTAAGAGAAATAAAGGGAAAAAACCCTTCTATTTTTACTGGGAGAAAATATTCTGGACTGGGAAACACACACTCAGCCCTTCTGCCCTAATTAGAGTAAATGAATAAGATGTGAACTACTCAGTCCTAAACCCTTCTGGGTAATGAAGGTTTACAAGACAGTCCTGTTACTTTACAGGTAGGTTAATGTAGCTGACAGTGGTGACAACTGAGATGTAGTTTGCATGTGTGTGGTTTTTTATCACACAATATGAAGAGCTTCTTTTATTGGGATGGTCAAAGCAAATGAGAACTGCAAGGGGGATGTAGAGAGGCTGGAGAGGAAAAGAGAGAGAGAGAGAGGACAATTTGGAAGCATAACTGCAATCTCTTTCAGTAGGGAGAAACATCTAAATACTCTTATGCCAATCACCATCTGAGAAGGCAACTGAAAGATGAATGTAATTAAAAGGAACTACAATCTGTTAAACTATATTCTAAAGTTATGAGAAGTGATTTCAAACAGAAGAATTAAGAAACACTAATACTACAAGATCCCTAACCACACTCTCCTAATTATCCGTTGAACTATGCAATCCCAAAAACGAATTCCACTGGAGTTTCAGAAGCGCCGAGCATTTGCATTCCCTGTCAGCTTTAATAAGGATTATGATATACATACATACAGCCCTTCTGAGAATCACAACCACAGCTTCATTAGCTAAGTAAGAAAGGGTACAATACAGAATTCACTGGAGTGAATTTCACCTATATTAAATACTTCTTTGCAGTTGCAATATTATTGTGTGTGGTTACTTACTGTCCTCAGGTAAGTTGTTTTCCCGTTCTTCTCTCTCCATCTGTTGGCACCACCCCTCCATACGATCTCTCTCTGCCTGAAGTAGCTTCAGAAACCAGTGGCCATCTCGTGGGCACACTGACCTTTGAACAGCTTCCAGAGGATCTTCAGTAATAGAGTCAATCCATGGGTCAGGAGGAGGTAAAATTGAAGGATCAAAATCTGTCTCAAAGTCATCATCCACTGCACATGCATGGTAGTGGTTTCCTGACCCTTGTATGCTAACGGTAGAGGTGCTTGCATCTCGGGAAAACTGTCTTGATATTTGTCCAGAACATGTATTGTCCTCTTGAGGGTCGATTATTTCAAAGTTCTCATGGAAATCCAGGTCTGCTTGCACAGCTGTTGTCACACTATTAGATCGTGTAAACCTGCGAAAGCTTTGGAGAGCACAAACAGAAAATGTTTAGAAAGTTTTTTTCTAGGTAATTTGGCATGGAAGGACTTACTAAAATTCTGCCACTTTCCCTAAGACTGGCAGTCACACCTCTCAGTGCTACACTCAGGTGTTTTTTTTCCTTGAAATAATCAGCATAAGCTTTTTTTCTCTTGCACAAGCAAACAAACAAACATACATCTCTCTTTTTCCATGTAGTCTCACTGTTTATTGAGACAAGGACCTCTAATTGTTATGTGATTTAACAATGCCACAGGACAGCCTCAGAGAGAGCTAACAGTGCCAGTAGCTCAGGATTTTAGATTACTGATTAATGAAAAGTCAAAGGGGCCCAATTTTCAGAAGTGGTTTATCTTTCAAATTTTTAAACTCACACGCCTTTGAAGTTACACATCCAAACTCACAAATCACATATAAAAATCATCCATGTGAAATCAGTAAGATACTAATACCAATGAGTCTACTACATATGTAATATTACACATTCCATTTATACAAAAAAAGTACTTTTAACTGAAATAAATATTTTTTATTGCTTCTTCATAATTATATATCTGCTATCTCTCACAATTTTAGTGCCTATTGCCGATGTCCAGACAATCTATTTTTCACATTCAAGCTTCAGTTTCAAAATGATCTCTTTTTCACCAAAGCTGTCACTCTCCTGTCTGTGTTACCCTCCTTGTGATGGTTTTTCTCCTGTAGGCAGCTTCCTCTCACCTTGCAGAGTTCCCCTGTGTTGGGGCATCTGAGGGCAAAGGCATGAGCAGGGGAGAGAGGAAGTTTGGGGGTTTGGGTTGAGTGGGTTTTTATTACGTAAACAGCACTTCAGATTCTGCAGTCTGAGGCATCTGACTGAAAAGGCTGACAGAGGAGGAGACAGAGAAGGAGTGAAAGACAAGGAATGAGGAATGTTGTTGCAGGAGGTGGTAATGAGAGCCCATTTCATAGCAGTGAATTGTGGAGGTATGAGTGGAAAACAAGTGAGGCAGACTGCTGTCTTGCCCCATGATGAAAAAAAAGGTAGAACCATAAAGTAACCATAGATGTCCCTTAAATCAGTAATACTTAGGGTTTAAGATTAACAGTTTGGAACTGAATAGGGATAGATTCCCATCTCTTCTTCTTACAAATCCAGGATGCCTGTGCACTCACGCAGCCAGTATTTAGTCTCCAATTTGTTCTCATTTTCACACCTACATTTGAAACTAGTGTTAGGACCTATTACTCTGTGATATTTTGGCTGTTTTGCCATTGCCAGTTCTGTTTTTAGTTTGCATTCAAGCAGCAGTGAAAATGCTGAAGAGATGGAGGAACTGGATGCTGGGCACCATTTCACTTCCCTTCATTTATATTCCACCTTCCAATGAAGAGCAATAGCCAATTAAACAACTGACAGCAAAATTTCATCAAGTATGTTTAGTCTGCAGCTGGTGAGGGAGCAGATGGAAGGATGCTGAGGGAGGATTTAATGTCCTATATACCTGGTGCATCCAGATAGCTCAGGAGAACTGTAGCAGACTTCAAGGGGGATTGTAATTGGTCCTGCTCATAGAGGAAATTAATGGCTGTTGATCTGGGGCTTTGAGTGGAGTAGAGCAAAGCAAAACTGGAGTTGAGAAAGGTCCTCCAATAAAAAAAAAAAAGCCCATGATGTTAATTTGAGCCTTCTTCTGCAGAGGAAGAAGGCTCAAATTAACATGTCAGCCATACCAGTCCCAGGAAAACTTCAATAATAGATTGTGTATATATTTTTTTAATAATCAAAAGCATTTTAACATAGTGCCTGCTGCTTGCAGTTCTTTTGTAACAAATGTTAAATGATACAAAAGTCATGGTTGTGCCACTGTAGATGTGCATGATATGCACCAGCAAACTGAAAAATAAAGAGTGTGCAGAATCATCAGCTTGGTAGTATTTATCCTTTGGAAAGCAGAGAAAAGCATTTTGTTATGGACTGATACAGCAGAAAAAATTAGAAAGGGAGGACAAGGGTCACTGAGGAGGTGGAATCCTTTCCATAGGAGAAAAGGTTTAGAAAACATGGCTGAGGAAGACTATGGGAGATCTATGAAATTCTGACTAGGGTATGTTTCACCATTTCTCTGAGTGCAATAACTGTAGGGAGGAAGACAGCCTTAAATTGCCACAGAATCCTGGGAAAAAGCAAAGGTAAAAATAGGTTCAAAGAGAACTTGATCAAGTTCACAGGAAGAGTCATTACACATCTCATATTTGGCTTAGGAAGTTCCTGAACAACAGAATACTAAATTGGGAATGTCTACTGGGAGAAGTAGTGCTTAGTTCACAGACTTTATACTTTACACACTCTCCTTTATACTTTTCCTAAGTATCTGCTATAGGCCCCTGGCAGAGAAAAGCTGTCATATTGGTATTAGTGATTAGAGAGACACTAGCATTAGGCTTACATTACAGTGATAATCTATTGTGAATCCAATACATGTTATACATCTTAGTTTTTTTTAGAGATTGCTTTAATTTGACAACCAACCTGACAAATCCCTTATCTGCACTGAGGTATACAAACACACAGAACACACACACAACACACACACAAAAACATGTGTGCCCACACAGGCACATGCTGTGTCTGAGGATTTCTTTTTAGTCATTTAGTCAGGGTTCACTGAGAGCCAAGGCATTAGTACACAGTGTACTTTTCCACACCTTCTATAGCACTGGTGAGAAAAGCAAATGCCTTGGTCCAGGCTTGCTCTTCTCCATGTTCCTGCCTCCATGTCACAGCCACCTTCTGCTTTCTCTGGTGCCCTAGACTCTGACATTCTTCTGTTTCAGATGACCACTTGTGTTTTCAGTTAACACCCTGGCTTTTCAGTGTAGGCCAAAACCCAAATGTGAAAGCATCAAAGTCTGCTTGACAGGAGGATGTTTTGCTGGATGCTCTACATTTCAAGGCTTTCAGGGTTCTTGGTGCTCTTACTGGGTTCAGTATGAGCTAGTACCAGCAAACCCAGACTCTGCTGAACAAATGAAATAGAATGACCTACTTTTTTTGCCTTTGTTTTATCTATATAATAGTATGCTACAGGTTTGCATGACAGTTTCTTGGCACTGGAATATGTAACTTATCTGTCTTCAAAAGAAAAACAACTTGGCAATAGAATGTAGCATCAGTTCAAAATTAAAAAAAAACTTCCAAGGAAATGTATTTTGAATAAAATGGAAATGTAGGAAGGCACTTACTATCTGCCTGCCTCCAACTCATCTGTAAAAAATGCCTAATAGATGGTAATTTTAGTCTTTGACACAGCTTCCTCACTCACTTCCAGGATGTTTTACTCCTACAAAGTACCATTTGTGTTCCACATGAGCCTTTTTTGCTTTGCTCTCACTTAAAACTCTATACTAGAGGAGAGCTGTTGAAGATAATGATAAAGTTTTTGCTACTTCTACCATATAAAACATTCACAAGTTTATCTAAAAAAAAAAGGAAAAGGTTCAAAACAGAGGTTTGCTTCTTCTTCTGCTTTCAGGCTTGGCCCTTTTGTACTCAGTTGTGCCCTGCAGGCACAAGGTGTAATAATTACATCTTCAGAGAACTGCAGCAGATATTTGGCCTAGGGTGCAGAAAGCCATGAAACCTCAGACTGGATAAACCAGTATGGAGAACAACAGAATGATGTGTTTTGAACAACAACATGGTCACTTGTTGGCATTCAGCTCTCAACTTCTAAGTCTTTGGCTTTCTTTTGCAAAACATGTTTGCAATTCAACTTAGATAATTCCTTCCTTAAAAAAACTTCAACCCCAAAATTCCAGAAAAGATATGAATTTCAAACCAACTGATGCATGGTCAATCTCACAGGTATTTAGGTTAAACTCAGCTTACTTTACCCACTGACTGTCCTCCTTCTTGGTTGTGGGCTTCTCTGCTAAGGTTGCAGCTGCTGTCAGCAGAACAAAACAAACTGCAGAAGGAATTAGCAGATAGGGTACCATGTTTCTAATGGCAGGAACAATATTCCTGCTCCAACCCCATTCCTTGCAGCTGCTCATCTTTGTTCATCACATTGTTTAAAGCTAGTTGGTTTATTTGTTTTTTCCCAACCCTTGGGCTTTTCATTGCAGAGCAGAGATGCTGGCTGGAGCACTCAGCCTCCCTCCAGGGCTTGGTCTGGTGCAGGGGGGCTATTGCCAGCCAGCAGGGTGTGATCAGAAATTCGTGGCCAGTTCTGCCAAGGCCAGGCTTGCAGCAGCCCAACAGCTGGCTGGGAGCCACCAGGGCTGTAAGCATTCCCTCAGCTCACAAGCTGCTCTGGCCAGAGAAGGAGATTGGCCCTGTCAGAGCCAGGGCCTGCTCTGCCTTTTGTGGACCAGAGCAGGAGTTCCTCCTCCAAACATGCACAAGTTGGGATGTGATGTGGGGAATGAGTCCCACCAGGATGGGACTGGCCAGAGCAATGGGTGTGGGTTGCAAGGGACATTTAAAGGTCATCTAGTCCAACCTCCCTGCAATGAGCAGGGACATCTTCAACTAGATCAGGCTGCTCCAATCCCTCTTCAGCCTGACCTTGAATGGTTCCAGGGATGGGACACCTACACCTTCAGAATTTCTCACTGGAATCGCTTCCACCATGGAGAACATAGATAGCCAGAAAATGCTGCTGAGAAAAGCCATGCAAGTAGTTCACAGAATCACAGAATATTCTTAGTTGCAAGGGACCCAAAAGGATCACCCAGTCCAACTCTTAACCCTGCACAGGAGATTCCCCAAATGTCATATCATGTACTTCCTGCTTAGCTTACCCACAATACAGACTTGAAAGGTCTACTCTAAAGAGTATAGTGTTGAGAAGTTTGAGTTAGAGTTAGGGAAGAACACCAAAGCCTGAGTATTTTTTGTTGGACAGTAAGTAACCAAACCCAAACACCTACAGGAAAAAAAACAGAAAAATATGACTTTATATAGTAACAAAATCCATAGATGTGAGTTTTTTTTTTTTTTTTTTCCTGGAGGAGACAACACAGGGTTTTTGTTTGATTATTTGCTTTATGTTAACATAGTTATGTTATTGCTATTTCAAATGATTCCACTTTATCCCATATCAAAAGGTGTGCTGTGGTAGGATGTGCTTTGTGTATCTTGTGTTAGGACACACTTTTGTGCATCAAGATATGGCGGCATCTTCCTTGGTGCCCCAGAAACCAGAGAAGAGGGAGAACGACCATATGTCTACTGCAGTCTCCTATGGCAGTAGGAGAAACTACCATTGTTTCAGTATTCAAAAATTCTTGTGATGGCAAATCAGGTACAATTACCAGCTGATGGTACATCTAGAAGGATGAGTGAGACCATTTTGGAGGTGAGAATGTAATAGGAGGAGATCTTGGGGCAGGCAAGATAAATTGCAAGAGAGACTAAAACTGATTACAGAGCCATGGGACTGAAAACCCCTTGTTCGTGAAGAATGCATGCTAATTGTTTTTGGCAGAATAAATTATTTCTTTTTTTTCTGCTTCAGTAGAACTGGTTGACTTTTAACAACTCAATTATCTTCTCTAAGTGAGGAGGGTGGTCTCTTGAGGTCAAGAAGAAGTTACATATAGAAAAAAAGGACAAACAGAAATGGACAGAAATTGAAGTGCCCTGAGATTGCATGGATGAATTTCATTAAGTACACTTTTCAAAACTGCCCTGGAAGGGAAAAGGGAACAACATTTTGGTTAGGCTTTTGTCAGCATCATGGGGAAGGTCAGGTGAGAGATAAAAGATTAACAGCAGTAAGATCATGAGGTTGAAAGAAATGTGTACCAATTTCTCTCCAAGAGAATGACCAGACAGAGTTACTCTATGAATGCTAGAAATCACAGAGCTGCAGTTAGGGAATGGGTCTGAAAAATATTATTTAGAACCAGCAGCATAAAAACTGAGGATAAGATAAACAGCAGCAACAGATCCAGTCGTAATGTGGTCAGGTAGCAGGAAGCACATTTATCCTTTGAGCAGTACAAGAGGAGGAGGAGGAGGACTGAAGCATTTGTCTTGGCAGGAGGCCCATGAGAAAGTGAAGGGCCAATGAAAGGTCTGAGGCGAGATGGAAGACTGAAGAGAGAGAGCTGTCCTGTGAAGATGCTCTGTTTTTGAATTACTTTGGCCAAGAAATGGAGGCAAAGCATTTTGCTTACCTGGTCCAAACACAGAAGAAGGAATATTTAAAAGGACATGAGGAGGTAAGACTCCTTAAAGTGATAATCACAATTGTATGAGGTGAGGGAAAGGGGAAGGAAAGAACAGGAAGCCAAGAAGAAGACTGAAAGTTGTGGTAGGCTTTTGGTGCATTAGGCAAAGAGCTTTATTGTTTTGTAACAGTGTAATTAATAGCTTAGACTGTCAAGGAAACATGATCAATTTACTGTATTTATTCTTCCTGCTGTGTCATTCTTCTCATTTTACATTTATTTAGTATTTCTGGAATATTTTTAAAGACATTAATTTCTCAAAGATTCAGCTAAAAGGGGCTTTTCTTAAGCTTTGCAGATGTTATGGTGCAGGGACAGTGAAGAATGTACTGTATTTACAATTCTATTCCTGTAACAGATAATCAATACATTGTGCTCTGCTGTATTATGGGGGAAAAAAAAGTAGTATGAGTGCCCAACTGTGATGATAAGCCCTTTGTGTCTTGAGTGCACTCATTTTCTAAGGATTAGGGGCTGTCCTTTATCAGGCAGTTCACTTCTGGAAGTCCATGATAGATTGCTGCTTTCCCCTCTGCTCCAAACAGCAGCAACCTCAACTTTATCAGCTAGGAAACCCTCAAACACTGCTGTCAGTAAGTAATGCAGAAATATTGCTTTCTCAGGGCAGACTCTCACAGGCAAATCTTACCTTTTTCTCTGGAGCAATAAAAACTGCTGTAGAAGGAGGACTTTGGATGTAAGGTATTTACAAACAGCCATTTCTTTCTTTCTTTCTTTGCAGGGAGGGGGAGGGTTGGGCTTTTGGGGTAGTTATTTGCTTTGTGCCCAGGCTGAAGTGAAATGGTCCTTCAGCATCCATTCTAATGTGCTCATTTATCTGGTGCTGGAAGAGTTGAGGGTAAATGGGACTAAGGTCTAACACATAAAGAAATGTCTGCCAGCAAGAGATGTTTTAGCAGGTTAATGAGGAACTTGGTAACAGCCTAGCAGGATCATTGCAAAATCACGCTTCTTTTTGCTGAAATCACTTTAGTCTTTTAAAACCACAGGAAAATGCTCTTCTACTTTACAGGGAGATTTGGTTGAATTGAAAATGGTGTAGAGACACCTGCTATTTTTGAGTATTTTTAGCAGATATAGGAAAAAAATGGTGTGAAAATTGACATCTCCACTGGTTCCTGCAGTCAGCAGGCCAGAAGGGAAGGGCCTGAATTTTGTCTGCTCAGATTTGCTGCACCCAGTTTTTTTCTGGAGAAATTACAAGGATAACTTCTCTCACTGACAAGTCATACTGCACTGAGGCTTTGCCCATGACACAGGAGGTACTGAGAGTTATCAAGGATGTGGCTCCAGCATTCAAAAGTCACATTGTGCCCAAGTGGCTTGAGAAAAGAGAAGCAAGACTTGTGTGGGTGCTTGGAGTCACAGCAACACTGGGCAGGCCTGCACACTCAAAGGCAAGGGGAGAGTCTGGCTTTTCTTCAGCCACTGAGTCCAGTTTTGGGAAGGAAATAAGATTTGCAGTTGTGGCCACGCACTCAAAAAGTTTATGTGTCCCAAGCGTTATGCACAGTTATGCTGCCCTGCAATGTACTGCAAGTTTGTCATCAGAAAAGAAACATAACCCTTTAAGACAGCTGCTCTAGTTTATTTTCTCTTTTAAATTTTTTTTTCTTGGAGGATATTTGTTTACTAACTCAGGCTGTTCTGCGGATTGTAGGGAGAACAGAGTTTTACAGGCTTGTTTTGTAATCTCAACATTTTTTTTTTTGCAAGGGAACAATTGTAATGCAGAGATGTCTGGGTGAGATACCTGAGTAAAAGCATTCAGTTTGGCTCTGCCACTGCACTGCTACATGTGGCTGAAATTATTCTGCTGAAAAACAAGGTAAACTTTTCCTCATCAGTTCTATGCTGCTGCAGCCATCCCAATACTAATTGCAACACTGCAACACTGTCCACTGTTTAGGTAGATTTTCTGGGGAAAAAGAGATTATTAAAAGTATATGAGACTTCAAATTATGTGGCACCTCTCTTCCATTTTTCTCACTGGTCCTGAAAAATCTTCTCTGAAAAACAAGAGCTACAACAATTATAAGACTCAGCTTTTCAGCTGGGTGATCTAACAATTAATCCAGGAAGCAGGTTTATGTGGTCATGTGTGCAGGAACTAGGGCTCTTAAAATTAGTTGTGGCATAATTATTTACTTTAGAAAAACAGTATTAACTTTTACTCACCACTTCTCCTCCTCTACTTGAACTCCTATGGACTGGAACTTACTGGTTGCTTTATTATCACCTGGTATGGTGGATTCTTCAGCACCATCAACCTTAAAAAAAAACCAAAACATGACAGGTAATTAGAATGTATTTTAGCAGAGGTATCAGCTGGCTACTTGCAGTTTCTATGCACCTTAACTACTGAGTGTCTGCACACAGAACTTGTACCATGAGCTCCTTCATCTAGTCATTTCTCTGTGGTGTGCTCTTTTATGATGTTATTAGTGAATATTCATTATTCTTTATCTATAAAGCATTTCTGATAAGACAATATTCAGCCTGCAACATGCAGATGGATTTTATCTGGTATTTTATAGAGGCTGGATGTTCACATTTGTTAGAGCACATCTCTGAGCAGCTGTAACTCCACTGTTTGATTTTACTTTCTATCTGTTCATGCATGCATATGTGAACTCATGCCAAAATCAGGTGTTTATTTTGTTTAAATGTTAGTGCCTCAAAACAGAGCACTGCAGAGAAAAGATTTTAAGAAAGCAGAATGAGTCTTAGATTCATTTTCTTTACTGCTTCATCTTGCAAACAGGTGGTTCCCAGGAGCACAAGCTGGAACTTAATACCACATCTCCAGCTCCAGCTCCATGAGGAGATTTGTGCCAACAGTATAAAGTTAAAATTTAACCACAGATGTGTCTTTGAACAAAAACACAATATTCTGGGTCCACTCAGTGTAGTTGTAAATTACCAGTGCTATACATAATATGGATAGTCATACAGGAAAAACATTTTGAGCAGACAGAATTTTTGGGCCATAGCAGTGTTGTGAAGTAACCTGTAGCCTCAAACTGACCATGGGTGTGCAAAATATCCAGCTCTAGTGGCTGTTCCACCAGCAACTTCTTGTTGAGAGCCACTTGACCAACCTGTGCAGGAAAAGTGCTCAGTGAGGGATGGGAGTTCCAGAAGCTGTTCTGTGAGGTGAAGTACTTCCTTGATACTGGGGTTCTGGGGAGCTAAATACACCTTAAATTCCATAACTGACAGATTGAAGCAACCTTTTGATGGAAGGGCTTTTCTTTGCTTGACTTTGCTTGTTTGCTCAGCAGATTTACAGCAGACTTGCAATGTCCTCAGAGTGACTGATGGGTGTAGAGGACACACATGGAGGTTCACCAGAAGTGCACAATTTATTTGGCAGAGGAGGAAGAAAACCAAGAATATACCTGTGGCTATTGCAGCTTGTGCTGCTTTACAGAGATGGGTTGAACTATCATCAAGGTGTATACTTGGTCTGAGCTCAGACTAAGCCTGGACTAGGCTCCCTTTACTCAGTGAAGAGAGACTGACTCTACTGCCAGTCAGAGGGCTGACAGTGTACCTACCTCCTTCAGGGCAGTTGTTTGTAAGAGAAGTAATTTCTGGCATCAACACCTACCTAAGGTATTTCTACTCCCACACTACCCTTCAGCTGTACCAGCATGACTGCTTGTGCAATGATGCTGCAAAATGGATCAGACAGCAGACTAGTGAAGTCAGTTTCTTTTATCTGTGAAGCCTGCCTGACTTTAAAAAGCTCATTGATGTGCACAGCTGTGAGGGTGGCACCACACACAGGCAGGAATTCTGTAAGGCTGCATTGCTACCGAGGGTTTCACTTCATGTCATCCCAGCTTCAGGTGGTTTGTACCATGTCTTCATGGGTTTGTACACAAAGCCTGCCTTGGCAGACTCTCACGTACCATCCCCAGATTTCATGATTATCCTATGATTATACTGGTCATCTGTAAACTTCAAAGTTTAAGAGGGAGATTGTCAAAAGTTTGAAGAGCATATGGAGCTCTGTTTTCTTCAGATCTCAGGAAACTGAGGCCTCTATCCCTTTCAAAAGCAGCATTTGTTACTTGCAACACTACTTTAAGAAGAGATAGAAGGGAGATGGTCTCTCAAGAACCATGATTCACATTACCATTGATCATTTTGGCTTCTGCAAACATGGAAATTATTTCCTTGTACCCATTGCTTTGCAGGGTCTTTGCTAAGAAGTCTTGGTTTCTTGGATTGGTGAAATAAGGGATTACAATAATATAATGGCATCTTAGGCTTGTCTGGGAATGAGAATACATAACAGAGGAGCTTTTCTCTATCCCTGTCCCACATCGATCTTTCTCCTGTGTTTAACACTGAACATCAGCCCTTCTTTCAGAAAATACCCAAAACAAACAGCTGTGAAGCAGTAAAAGTCTACAACAAAGGCAGTGAACTGAACCCACAGGCAACAGTTATAATTGCCCTTCCAAGACGAATTGAGAGAAAAGTCACAGCTTCTCCAGCAGCTACCCCTGGGATGGCATACGTTTGCACCTCTCATCTATCTCATCAGGGTGATGTAGAGATTTCATGGTAAATTCTTAGACTTTGCTAATCAGATAAGCCTGTCCAGGCACAGAGTGCTGTGCTTACAACCACCTTCTGCAAGAAAAAAATATTTCTGTCTTCCTGTGAAGGCTGATAAGCTGTGGATTGCTATTCTATTTGCTCAAGATTCATCTCCTGTCAAAACTTGTGTTGATTCTCAGTTGATTTTAAGTTCAAGCACTTTCTTACAAAAGCTAATTCTGTAAACAGATAGTTGGGAGTCCTATGCACATCTTTTTTTTTTCTTTGGTGGGGGGGAATAGGGGGTGGAAAAGATAAATTAAGAAAGCTGATTACACCAGACTAATTTATTTACTCTTGTCCCTTCTGTAAACATGAATGAACTTTAGCAGGGTTAGTTTTCTTCTTTCATTCCATTAGAGGTAACAAAATGTAATTTTCTTTAACAAGGGCAAATCAGAAGGAACTTATCTTCTGTTCCTGAGGCTGAGATAGGAACAATGCTGCCTCATTCAAGTGGCTACCAGTCATTATGAAATGCATGAATAAGCAGCAACAATTAATTCAGTGAGGCTGGATGAAAATATTTTTTTGGTGGTAGTGTAATGTAAATCATTGTTTTACACATTCCCTTTCAATGATTTAATTCATGCCTTTCTGACCCCCACTGTGTTATGATTCATAGATTAGTGCTCATGTGTGTAATTTAACAGAGCTGAATAACAAGTAGCACAGAGACTCAAACAAATGCTTGCATCTGATGTATTTATGATAAATTAGGAAAACATCATTAGTACCATGCAGAATGATTATGCTGGTGCAAGTTCTACATAGGTACCTGTCAGGACAGGAAGAAAAATATACAAAACATTGTATAATGAGCAGTAAAACAGATGTAGGAATCCAAAACAATGGCAAGCATATAATGCATATGCTTTATAATACTGTAATACTGTACCTGTATTCCAATAGATAAGCATCTGTTTTTCTTGAAATGGTCTTTCTTCCTATCTTCTACTGCAACAGTGGCAATGGTTGTGGTGGTGGTGACAGTGGCAGTATTGTTCCCCACATGTTGGCTTGCAGGGCCGTGGATCTGCGCATTGGCAGCTTCAATAGCAGCTGTCAGTGCCTTCATACTGTCCAGGCTTTCCGTGGAGTTGCTAAGTCCAGACTGGCTGATGATATCTCCCCTCTGTCCATGCCCATCCATGTAGGCATCTTGGGCAGACTCCGTGCTGCTCTGGGCTGTGATGGAAATAAAGGGTTTGGTGGTGGTTCTCGGTGGGACTGGAGGCGGCGTCTTCTTGTAGGTGGTAATGCAGGATGACACTGGAAAAAACATAGCAGAGTTCTTGTTGATGCTGAAAAAATGTGGAAGATGGGTGCAAACGTGATCTCAAAGCATCAATAAGCATGGACAGAGCAGAGGTGAGTGAGGAGGAGGCTGTTAGCCAAAGAGCCCCCAAAAGTCCATCTAAGTGCCAATAGTAATGCCCTGCTTATCAGTGTCTTCCATTCCTCCTATGTGAGTGGAAGAATTGCTACTAGGGCAAATTGGGAAAGAAGGTATCTATTTGCTAAGTTCCTCCTTAGTCTTTTTAGGATTGTTTTCCTCAATATATTTTCTACTAACTGTTCTAAGGGGAACAAGACCTTCCACCAAAACATTTGTTCTGCTTATGGCTCCCAAACAAGATTCACAAGGATGATGTCTCCAACCACTTATTCCAGCTAAACTGTATTTCAAGCAGTTTTATTGCAATTGTTTTCTGTCTCACTATATGCAGAATTTCAAACCACAATTTTCTGATGAGAGAGAGATTCTCAAATCATCCTTTATCAAAGTTTGTTAACATTCACCATGCTTGGACTTGTGTATTTCTTTCTATAAAATGTCTCACTTGTTGCACAGACTTCTCAAATACTTTGAAATGCTTTGTAACTTATTGAGGACATACTTAAAAGAACATTTTGCCATGCCTAATTTCTCACCATAGATATAACATCAGTTCTGGAAAAAAAATTTGCTTGATTTTACACACAGGGAGTCACTGTAATGTAGTCAATGGCTAAAACATGACAGTCAGTGGTAAAGTGTAAGTATAAAAGTATGCAATAACAAACACTTTAATAAAAGTTCATATTTTGAAGGCCACACTCCCTTTGTAAGTGCTGCTATGTGGAGTTATAAGTTTAGCTTGAGGTGCCCAGGTTAAAAAACTATTGTTCTGTATATACAGAACTACATAGAGAAAGCACTACATGGAGATTACAACATCTTCCTTTAAGGGTTAGTTGGCAGCTCTGCATTATTGAAGTCCTGGAATGCTTTCAAGGGAGGAAAGAAAGCCCATTAAGAACAAAAAACAACCATGATATGCTCTATTTTTTAACAAAATAAAATGCAGGCATGAACCTGTGCAAAGTTCAGACACAAACTTGTTAACATAAATTCTTATTAACAGTAATCATATGGCAAGAAATGATTCATCAGATCATTTTAACTGGCAGACGTCTATGCCACCCACATAAAAGGTAACTCTGCTACAGCTGTTCTGCTCTCTGTTTGCACTGTACCTGCTTGTCGAGCCAGAAGCCATTATGGTATTAATTTGACTAGCTCACATCCATATGCCTCATATCTCCCCATAGCTGTAGGAATAGTTACAGTGTGAAAGGTGTTTCCAGGGCATGAAATCACACAGGATTTTTTTAAAGGACTCTAGTATAAGTTTCTAATAACATGTCTGAACCTATGTTAAACATGTTGAATACTAATGGAAAAAAAGAGTGTTTCAGGTAGTGAGGGTTTTGAAACTATGATTCACTTCTGAAGAATCAAACTGAAACAACGGCATCTCTGAGAGATGTCTAAAAATGGACTTGTCAAATTTTAACTCTGGGGAAGTGAATAGTTAGTAGAGTTAAAGGTGTTTTATAAAGTGCTCATGACAAGGTCAATACCTGGAACTAACAGAAGGGATGACAGTTTTACAAAGGAGATTATAAATGTTTTGCTGTTTGTCACTGGTTTTGGTTCTGTCAAAAAGCATTTGTTGTGACAGCACATGCAGGTAAACCAGCTGCTGTTGCTGCAGCACAGTCATGTAATCCAGGACTCATGGAGAATTGTGGAGTCAGGATACCCCAGAAATATTCCAGGTAGTTCATGGTCAGGAGAATGTTCTCTGAGTTGTGGAAATGCAAACTGAAATTCAGCACAGAGGATTTCAAAGCACACACACACATGCATATATCCAGGTAACACTTTGGGAAGTTGCTGCCAAACTTGTCAAATGGAGGTTCATGAGCAATGCCACTTTGCAATTCAGCAAAGTATAAATTGTACCATTTAAAATATGCTAGGAGGGGTACTGGGGAACTTCTGGAGACATGCCAGCACCTTCAGTACATCCCAGCATGGCACATAAGTATCATTTTTCTTACACAGCAGAGAGGAAAATGATAATGAAGCACACTTGAAAAGGCATCTTAGGTAGGAGAGAGAGCATCAGAACCAAAGAGCAAGCCTTAACAAGACAGGTCTCCCCATCACTGGGCATCCTGCACGAGAAAGAAAGTCAATAGCAGCTGTCTATTGACAGCTACCATGTTCTCTGGACACAGCAGTACAAATACAGAATTGCCTGATTAAGTTGTCTTTCATTCTGTTGGTAAATGTACTCAATGAGGAGTATAATCCACACCGCCATGAAAGATGTTTGCACTCAGCTAATTAAATCTGAAGTTATTCTTAAGAGGGGGAGAGAACTGACAAGTCACATGGTGAAATTGTAAAGAGAAATAGCAAAACGTTCTTTTAGCAAGTCAAAACAAATCCTTGGTTTCCTGGAGTCACGCAGCACATACTGTACAGCTCCAGAGAAGCAGAGTGTGCAAGTCATAAAAGAACCCCAGGCACTTCATTACTGGAAATGATGTAAGCTCCTGCCGCTCCTCTGCAATAACGACACAAAAACAATGCCGGGGCCACCGCTGCCACTCTCGGAGGCAGCTGCTCCCAATGCCGGAGCTGGCCAAGCCGCTGAGGAACAGCAAGGAAAGCCTTGGAGCTGGCCGGGCCCTCCTAGCCGCTGGGGCATGGCAGTGAAAGCCTTGGAGCTGGCCGGGCCCTCGGAGCTGCTGAGGCACGACCATGAAAGCCTTGGAGCTGGCCGGGCCCTCCTAGCCGCTGGGGAATGGCAGTGAAAGCCTTGGAGCTGGCTGGGCCCTCCGAGCCGCTGAGGCACGACCATGAAAGCCTTGCGGATGGCTGGGCCCTCCGAGCTGCTGAGGCACAGCAAGGAAACCCTTGGAGCTGCCTGGGCCCTCCGAGCCACCGAGGCATGGCAATGAAAGCCTTAGGGATGGCCAGGCCCTCCAAACCACCGAGGCACGGCAATGAAAGCCTTGGGGATGGCTGGGCCCTCAGAGCCGCTGAGGCACGGCCATGAAAGCCTTGTGGATGGCCGGGCCCTCCGAGCCACCGAGGCATGGCAATGAAAGCCTTGGAGCTGCCCGGGCCCTCCGAGCCACCGAGGCATGGAAATGAAAGCCTTTTGGGGCAGCAACTCTTCTTCATGAGCCTTCAAGTACCTGGCAGCCTGTTCGGGGCAACCTGAAGCATCTGCAGATCTTCAAGTGGCCACGGTGTTTTGAATGCTAAGCTGCCTGAAAAACAAAATGAGTCCTCCCTGAGAAAATTATCGAAAGGCTGGTGCTCTCCGTGTCCAGCCAGGAGAGCCTGAGCGTTCAGTCGGTGCAGGGAGAGCACATCCATTGCAGTGCGTTCCCCTGCACTCATCCCTCCAGCTCTCCTGCGGCAGGAGGACCCCAAGGGAGAGCACGACAATACCACAGGACATGTAAAAAATTTGGAGCAATCGTCACTTCACACACAGGGAACTTGCAAAGTATGAAAGCTGGTTTAATTCACACAAGGAAGTGAATTTAAAGGGCTGTATAAATTCCCTGATAAATATGTTCTTGGACGTAGATCAAGGAGTGAAGTTCTGTACAGAAACTGATCTGACTGGAGAGTCAAGTCAAAGTAGTCTCGTGAATCATTAAAATTGTTTAGATATGGAGTTAATCAGAAATCTCTTGTTCTGAATAGTAAAAGAACCTCAGTTTGACACAACATAGACTAGTTTCCACGTTTTTTTCCAGAGAGCACATGCTGCTGAAGCAGGTACACATTCCTTTCCTAGGGCATATGCAAGGTTTAATCCAGAAACTAGTTAAGTCATGCACAAGAATCCTCAGACAGCCAGACCACTTTGAATCAGGCTCACTATTTCCAGTGTATCAGTCCTCCAAGTTATGCTCTCCTTTTCCTTTTGATCTTTACCCTATTTCTGTGTATTGCCTTCAGGTTACAGTTTAATCCCAAATACCTAGTGAAAAAAACCCACTTTCTCCAGATTAAAAAAAAAATAAATAAAAAAGAAGAAGCTACGGGTTTTGTCTTCCTAGCCAGTATTTCCAAACAACTAGCTCATGAGACAGGAATTTGGAACAGGGAGTGTCAACCACCCAGTTCAGAAGGAAGTCTAATGATAAAAAAATAATCCCAGATTGCATAATAATAAAGGCTTGAATTTGAATGTTTCATTGTACTTCGGTTGTTTAAACATGCTCACTAGGGGAGATGAGCCCTCGGGAATAAACATCAGCATGCAAACATAAATTTTTAACTGAGTGAACGGGTGCTCAGGAGAGCCCCAACGCAGATTAGTATTTGTGAAAGGATCAAATTCGTGCAGTGCTTTGAACAGTTCAGGTGATGAGACACATCAGCAATATCTTTCTAACTTGGTAGTCCTATATAAACTTGATTCACAAGAATAAATGAAGGCACAAATTCAAGTAACATAATAGTGTTTCTTCTGAGAAAAAGCACAAACCCCACAGTTTGAAAGGGGCAAGAAATGACACAACTTTCTCAGCAAAAGAAAGATGTGGACCTGTTGGAGTGAGTCCAGGGGAGGGCCGCGGAGATGATCAGTTGGTTGAAGCACCTCTCCTGTGAAGGTAGGCTCAGAGAGCTGGGGATGTTTAGCCTGGAGAAGGCTCCACAAAGGCTTCACTGTGGCCTTCCAGTATCTTATGAAGGAGGGAGGGGGATTTTTTATATGAGCAGATAGTGACAGGAAAAGGGCAGTGGTTTTAAACTGAAAGAGGGCAGTGTTAAATTAGATGCTAAGCAGAATTGACTCCAAGGTGAGGCACTGGAGGTTGCCCAGAGAACGTATGGATGTGCCACCCCTGGAAGTGCTCAAGGCTGGGTTGGATGGGAGCCTGAGTAACCTGGTCTAGTGGGTGGTGTC